TATTTTATATATATTTGCCAACATTTAAAGTGAGAAAGTATATTTTCCTCAATTCTTTCTCAAAACAAAGAACTGTGGATTTAAACAAAACAAAAACCCCAAACAAGCCCTCTCCTTCCCAAACCCTTATAAACAATACTTATGGCCCAAGCACTAAAGTCTAGTGATACTTTTGAAAACCCCATTTCACATCCTCTTCTTTTCAAATGGTTACCCCAAACAGAATGGAGAGTAAGCAAGAGAAAAAACAAAAATAGAAGAAGTATATTTAAATATTACCCAGTATATAACAGACTGTATTGTGTCAGTGAAGAATCTCCAAGAAAATAAAGTGTAAATCATACAAATGTAGCTCTGTTGACAAGTATAGCTAATCTTTCCTTGTAATTACTAAGATAATTTGAAAGGATGTGAACACAAACAGGCTACATGAATGCAGTATATTAAAATCCCCCCCTGTAGCACATTACAATCAATAAAAAGAAAATAAAATCTGAATAATACTAGAGGTAGCAGCTGTTTGTATTTTCTGTTATTCTGAGTATCTCTGGAGTCCAACCCTTCGAACATTGCTCCCCTGATAAAAGGCTTGTGTGCGATCAGCCAACATACAGCAGACTGGTAAGCTAGATGTCTGCAATAGTGTTTGAAGTATCTTTCCTACTACAATGAAAGTAGTACTTGTAAAGAAGTGCGTTGACGACCTGTATTAAATCACAGCTCAAAAAGCTATGGCTGTTTGCTGTTTTACAAGCCACTTTAAAAAAACAAAATCCACAAGGTGTTTAAGTAAGCTATGCAGTTCCACAACATATAAATAGGGTAAGTTTCAAGAGTTCCATATAACCTCTAAAATATATGCTAGCTGAATATTAATGGAGTAACAATAATATTAATTATAGTAATGCCTTAGTTCTGGTATCACAAGAACACATTTCCTTCATATGGGATGATTCTTGGAGGATGTTGGTGGGATCTGTTTTATGTCTGGTAGAAGTGATGGTAGTGGTGGTGGTGCTCATGGTGGTGGTGGTGTTCATGTCTTTGTATCATTTGTCCAACTTGGCCTTCATATAAAATGACTGTGGGCAGATCTCTCACATGTTCCTTTTCCACAACTGTCCCTGGAGACTGGAAGGTTTTGCACATTTGGTGATTCTCCTTTGCCCTCTGCTTATGTTTCTTGTGAACCTGTTGGGATTGCAAGGGGAGGTAAGGAACATTCTGGCCCACTCGTGCACTTGGGGAAGCCATTGGCATGGGTGCCCCTTGAAAAGGTTTATTTCTTACTGCCCTTCCAGGATGCACAGGGGCAACATTTTTGCCCTGGGCCTTGGGAGACCTCACAAAGTGCTTGTTTGAGTCCTGGTTCCGAAACCTCTGTTGGATTTCTGCAATCTTGGCATATGAACTCTCAGCCAGATTGTTGTGGCTCGGATCCACCACTTGAGATTTCCTATGGTGAGCATGGAAGGTTTCAGGTTCATGAGAACGGGATCTAGTCTGATTCACAACTCTGCTTGGTGGGTCATGTTTTTGAGCTGCTGGAGGAGATCCTAGGAAATAACAAGCTGAGTTAGTCATCTAGTATTTCAAGTTTTAATTAGTAGCATGCTGTTGGCAGGGATAGCATTAATCGGCAGAGTGAATTTTTCCTAAGGAAATGAATGCAATTATAGCTGTCGAGTTTAATTACATTTAATAATGCTGACTAGTAAATAATACACACAAATATACATATGTGTCTATATAAGAAAGCGCGTCTGTGTGTGTCTAAGTCTTTACATTAACTTCTCTTGGTCATCATCTATCTGAAATGCACAAAAATAACTGAGTAGAATAGTAAAATCTTGGCAGAGGACAGGGAAAGGGAGGAAATCCAAATCCCTTTAATTTGGGGACAAAAGCCAAAATTCCAGGTATGAACCCATATTCTCCAATTTTTGGGTCAGTAGCGAGTACAAAATATGTGCTGGTATCATCTTGGGAACGAGCTCCAACATCCAAAAATCAGTCCTCGCCTCACCCATACACTAAACTTAATAACTTAGATGTAAAGATTGTTCTCCTAGGCTCACCTCCAAGTTTAGCTACACAAACAAGTACTTCAAAGCAGGCTTGCAGCACATTAGCCACTCCATTGTGATACCACCTTCGCCAGTAATTATCTTGCAATATTCACACAGTCCTATTCTTTCCAGTAAGTCACTACAGACAAATCACACAGGTTCACAATTCAGTGCCCCTGATGTGGAACATGCAACTGAAGAAAGAAAAGACGAAAAGGTTGCAACATAAATTACCAAATTACCTGGCCCAAACTTTGATGTGTAGTTTTCTATTCCTGCAAGATCCAAATAGTGGTTTCTCCTTTCAATGTTCTCATCAACACAATGACGATAGCACCCACTTTGCTCTGGATTGTTCTCACTC